GTTTTTTTTTTTTTTTTTTTTTTTTTTTTTTTTTTAGGATTTCTCTGTGTAGCCCTAGCTATCCTAGAACTCGATCTGTACACCAGGCTGGCCTCAAATTCACAAAGAGCTGCCTGCTTCTGTCTCCCAAGTACAGGTGCTAAAGGGGTGTGCCACCATAGCCCAACTCAGAATCAGAATTTTAATGGAATTTCTAGTTTATTTATGTATATTGTATTTATTTCTCTCCCTCTCTCCCCTCTTGTTTTTAAGGAATATGGACTTCAAGAAAGTGAACTGAAAATCAGTGCTGTATTTTCAGCCAATGACACTTCTCTTGGTAAGAAATAAAACTAGCTAGGTTTGTTACAGTTGGTATTTGTTTAGTAGAACTGAGGGAAGTGCCTCTGCCTGGAAGTCTTTCTTCTCCTTTAGAGAATATTTTTCAGTGTGGAAACCGGTCACCATTAGCTTTTTTAAAAAATGAAAGGCATTAAGATTATATCAGAAGGTGATGCATGCATTAAAGAGATATATGTTTTATAAAACTTCTGCTTCTAGCTGGGTGTGGTAGAACATGTCTTTAATCCCAGCACTCTGGAGGCAGAGGCAGGTGGATTTCTGTGAGTTCCAGGCCAGCCTGGTCTACAGAGTGAGTGCCAGGACATCCAGGGCTACACAAGAAACCTTGTCTTGAAAAAAACAAAACCAAACCAAACAAAAGCCCTTCTTTTAAATTGTGTGTGCCAGTGACTAAAGTGGTACATACTTGTAATCAGTACTTGTGAGTCTGAGACAGGAGAATCATAAGTTTGAGGCCATTCTGGCCTATATATAGTGAGACTTTGTCTCAAAAAAAAAAAAAAAAGAAAAGATCTTGTCTAACATATGTGCATATGAGAGCTGGTTTATAATACTTATTAAGGGTTGTGGTAAGAAAAAGTTGAAACTGTTTTGGAGCTTGATTATTGTTTTCTTAGTATAATGGCTTTAAAACTAATAAGTTTTTTCCTTGAAAAAAAATATATACATTGGTGAAACTGAAATTGCTTTTTTTCTTTCTTTCTTTTTTTTTTTTTTTCTGTTTATTTTGTTTGTTCTTGTCTTGCTAGGCTTTCAGCTTGGTCCACTGTCACCTGGCTCAAATACATCATTTCCTTCAGTTCCAGCTGCTCATGTGTTTTGTTCTGGTTGTAAAAAACTACTTCATAAGACAGGATGTGCTCAGCTTTTCTGTTCAAAGGAATGCATCATCAGATACTCCTCAGCTGTCTGCCTGTCACCTCAACCCAAGAGAACCTGCACACACTGCTCCAAGTACAGGGTTCCTAAACTTTCACTTGCTTGTGTTTTCTTTTGTTTTTCGAGACAGGGTTTCTCTGTGTAGTCCTGGCTGTCCTGGCATTCATTATATAGACCAGGATGGCCTCGAACTCACAGAGATCCACCTGCCTCTGCCTCCTGAGTGCTGGGATTAAAGGTATATGTCTCACTTTTATTTATTTATTTATTTATTTAATTTGACTCAGAGTGACATACTGATATTTTAACTTTTCTGAACATTAGTTTTTCATTTTTTTCTTTAAGTAATATGTACTTCCTAGGATTTTAATGAGGCAACGTTAGCACATAACAGCATATTATAAATGTTTAATAAATGGGATCTTATTAATAAAGAATTTAAGTAATTGTGTATTTATAATTATAATTATAATAATATGTACATGGTTATGTACATGGTGTTTTCTTAGTTTTTATGTGAGTGGGTGTTTTGCCTGCATGTATGTTTGTGCACCACATGAGTGCCTGGTACCAGAGGAGGCCAAAGAAGGCTTCAGATCTCCTGGAACTGGAGTTCAGATGGTTGTAAGTTGCCATGTGTAAGTTGCCTAGTAATCAAACCTGGGTCCTCTAGAAGACGATCTAGTGTTCTTAACCGTGAGCCATTTCTCCAGTCCCAGGTGTTTTTTTTTTTTTTTTGTTGTTGTTGTTTGTTTGTTTGTTTTTGAGACAAGTTTTCATGTACCCCGGCCTGGCCTTGAACTGATTTATGTGGCTGATTTTAAAATCATGATCCTTATTGCCCCTACCTCTCAAGTATTGGAATTATAGATATGTGCCATTACATCTGGCTAAATGTAATTTACTGTTTTTAGTGAAAAAACACACTTTATCTGTATGGAAGCACATACTTGATGTTTGGTTGACTGGTGTAAAAGTGCTTTTATTTATTTATATCTATCTGTCTGTCTGTCTCTGTATCTATCTTACATGAGATCTGTGTGTCTGTATGTGTATATGTATATGCACACACACCTAAAATCAGAAAACAGCTTGTAGGAGTTGGCTCCAATGTGAGGGTCCTTCATTCAACTCAGGTTATCAGGCTTGGTGACAAGTATCTCTGCCTGCTGAGATATTTCACGAGTGCTTTATGATTGTTTTGTGAGATAAGGCGTGATATAGCCCAGACTGGCTTTGAACTCTATATGTAGCTGGGGATGACCTTGAACTATTTTTTAAAATGATTTTTTAGTGTTTTGCTTACATATATATTTATATGAGAATGTTGGATCCCCTGGAACTGGAGTTCTAGGCCATTGTGAGCTGCCATGTAGGTGATAGGAATTGAACCCAGGTCCTCTAGAAGAAACCATTGCTCTTAACCACCGAGCCATTTCTCTAGTCTCCAACCTTGAACTCTGAGTCCTCCTGCCTTTCCTCTCTCAAGTGCTGTTGTACCTCCACACCCTGTAGAAGCACATGCATTTTTAAACTTAGGTGAATTTTAGAAAATTTAGGTAATTTTTATTTTCCTTTCATAGCTTACCATGCAATAGTTGTGAATAATAAAGGTATGTGGGCTAAGGAAATGCCTCAGTTGGTAAGGAGCTTGCTCTGCAAACATGGGGACTTGAATTTGATCCCTAGCATTCGTATAAAATGCTGGGCACAGTAGATCATGCCTTTAATCTCACCCTTGGGAGACAGAGACAGGACAGAGGTCGATGGGTCTGACTTCAAGGCCAGCCTATTCTGCTTAGTGTGAGTTCCAGGCCAGCCAAGGCCTCACAGTGAGATCCTATGAATTATTTTTTAAATGCTGGGTATAGTGGTGAATGTTTGCAATCCCAATACTGGGTGGTGGACACATGAGAGTCCCTGGGGCTAGATGACCAGACATACGATAATCTGAGAGCCTCAGGTCCCAGTGAAAGACCCTGTTGTGAAAAACAAGGTGGATGGTGCATGAGGAGGGATGACTCTGGCCTCTGCACATGTGCACATACCACACACAAAATAAAAATAAAGGTGTAGACAGTGTAGGCTAATAGAATGATTAACTCTGGACACTCTGGATTTGAATTCTGGTGTCAGTATGATTTTGAGAGAAAATTTAACTTAACCTCTTATTTAGTCTTCTTGTCTGAAAAGTAGAAATGATAGTAGTACTTCCCTCATAGTGTTTTCTGTGATATTTAATGACTGACGTATAGTCTTAATTCGCTATACTTATATAATACTACAGTCATCATTATTTACTTTGTCTCCTCCCTCCATTAGTGTTTCTATTTTGAGTGTTTCCTTCAATTTTTATGCTTTTGAGAACAATAACAGCATTTAGCCTCTAACTGGGTGTCCCTTTTTAAAAAAATATTTATTTATTATGTATACAGTGTTCTGCCTGCATGTGCATGTGTCCCTGCAGGCCAGAAGAGGGCACCAGGCTACATTACAGATGGTTGTGAGCCACCATGTGGTTGCTGGGAATTGAACACAGAGCCTCTGGAAGAACGGGCAGTGCTCTTAACCTCTGAGCCATTTCTCCAGCCATTTCTCCCTTTCAGTGCTTATTGAAAACGGCTCTGGAAATCTCACAGAACTGCTAGATTATTTGTGTTATGTTCCTCCCAACACATAATTTTTTATATTAATCTCTCATAGTTCACCTTGAAAATGACACAAAATTCATCTATAATCTGTCATGATTCTACAGTTGACAGCTGTTAAATAGAAGACACCTGCCTGTGGTCTGGAGTTGTGGGATGGCCGCTGAATCTACTCTCACTGAATCTAACAGAGCTGGAAGTCTAGTTTGTTAAATATAGTTCGTGTACAAATGCTCACATTAGATGCTATAAACCTCACTTTACACATGAGACAGTAGAGACAATAATTGCTTCACTCATAATCATTTAACTGAGAAGTAGGAGAAACCATCATCAGCACTGTATTTCAGATGATTTATGCAGGTATTTTCCTACTATGCAATAGTTACTCTTAGCCAAAATAACATTTTAGTTCCCAGAGAGGAAGAAGGTAGAATCATGGCACATTTGTCTTTTTTATTTGTTTTTAGAGACATTTTAAATCCAATGGATGTGATCACAACCAAAGTTGAAGATGCCTCTTCCTGCAAAGATTTCTGCAGCCAGTTATGCCTATCTTCTTATGAACTTAAGAAGCCTGTTGTCACTGTGTACACCAGTGGCGTGTCCACTAAGTGCAGGATGTGTCAGAAGGTCACGGATGTAAGTGTACATTACCTTTCACTTTCTTTGGCACTCTGGTCAGAGAGATGATACTCCCCCTCCCACCTCTCCCCACTATCTTGCTATGTAATTGAGACTGGCCTCAACCTTGAGGCCATCTTTGTGTTTCAGCCTCCCAAAGGCAGAGATTATAATGCTACCATGCCTGGCTAAAATCAGACATTTTTTTTTACATGGCTCTGCTTATTTTGGATCTGTGTATCTGATCTACAGATTAGATTTGAAATTAATTATCAAAGCCAGGTATAATGGCACACCTTTAATCCCAGCACTTGGGAGGCAGAGGCAGTCAAATCTCTGAGTTCGAGGCCAGCCTGGTCTACAAAGTGAATTCCAGGACAGCCAGGGCTACATAGTGAGACCCTCTTTTGGGGGATAAAAAAAAGGAGGAAGTAGAGGAAGAAGAAAGAAAAGAAAGACAGATCAATCAAAATGTGGTACAAGGTCTTTGTCGTGGTGGTTGATTTTCAGAATTTCACATAACAACCTCACTGTGAACTGTTGTGAGAACTGTAGGGGCTGTTGTTAGGGTAGCTCTGACCTTCCTGTCCCTGATGGTGTACAAGCAGGTGCGGATTCCTGTTGTGGAGCATGTAGGCTTTCCCTTGAGCTGGCTGTGCAAGGGTGAGCTGCAGAGCAAAGGTGGGAGTGTCTCCGTTTATCCTGATGTGATCTTCTCTCCAGGGAAAGGGGGCAGACTCCACATAGGGATGGTTGTACAGTGATGTGATTAAGATGACATAGGCCAAGCCACTTTAAAAAATTCTTTAATTTTATTCATGGCTCAGAACTTACAAATGATTTATTATGTGAAATATTAATGGTGGAAACTCCTTATAGATGAACCAATAATCAAGAGTTAAAAGCCAAGAACTGATTGAAACTAAAGGAAACTTTTTTTCTTTTTCTTTCTTTCTTTCTTTTTTTTTTTTTTTTTTTTCTTCTTCGAGACAGGGTTTCTCTTTGGCTTTGGAGTCTGTCCTGAAACTAGCTCTTGTAGAACAGGCTGATCTCGAACTCACAGAGATCCATCTGCCTCTGCCTCCTGAGTGCTGGGATTAAAGGTGTGTACCACCAATGCCCGGCTTTAACTTTTTTTTCTTTTAAGATGTATTTTGGAATGAGTTCCTAGTTGGTTTGGTACCATCATCCTATTGTAATATTTTAGGTACATACCATGTACTGTAATAAATAATAGTCTTGTTAAATATTGTATGTTTCAGTTTTAATTTTTACTGGTTGAGGTTTCTTTTTGTTCTCTGTGTGTGTATATGTGTATGGGCATGTGTGTATGGGTCTGAGGTGATGTTAGGAGTCTTCATCAGTTGCTTTGTACCTTCTTCATTGAGGCAAGGTCTCTCAGTTGAACTCAGAACTCACCAATTCAGCTAGTCTGTTAGCCATCCTGGATATCCCATCTCCACCTTCCAAATGCTGGAATTACAAGTAGGGGCCACCAAACCTATTTGGCATTTATGTGGGTTGTAGGGATTTGAACTCTAGTCCTTTTTTTCTGTATGGCAAGTACTTTAACCATTGAGCCATCATCCTAGCCTTTTTTAAAAGAAGTTCTTATAAAGGATGTAAGTGATAGCGAATTTTTTTAGGAACTAAGAAGGTACTTCAGTTGGTAGAGTGCTTGCAGACATGAGGACTTGAATTCCATCCTTATAGCCTACATAGCTGGTTGTGATGGTGTATACTTACAATCCCGGTGGAGAAAGGTGTATTTCTGGGGCTCACTGGCTTTGCAAATTCTGGGCTAGTGAGAGATCATGTCTCAAAAAAAAAAAAAAAAAGGGTAAATGGCCCCTGAATGATACCCAGGGTTAACCCCTGACTCCCACACACATGTGCAGACATGTGTGTGACACTCATACACCCGCATGCAGATGAGCACACAGTTCCTTTACTTAGCACATTTTTGATTTGCTGATTCCTTGAAGCAGTTGAAATGTCCTTTTATTATTAAGAAAATTTTTTTCCAGTAACTGCCTCTTTTGGCAGTCCTGTTACTATCATCACAGGAAAGTAACTAATGCTTTTTGTTTTTATTTTATTTTATTTTTTATTTATTTTTATTATGTATACAGTGTTCTGCCTGCATGACAGAAGAGGTCACTGGATCTCATTACAGATGCTTGTGAGCCACCATGTGGTTGCTGGGAATTGAACTCAGGACCTCTGGAAGAACAGCCAGTGCTCTTAACCTCTGAGCCATCTCTCCAGCCTGACTTTTTGTTTTTATATATGACCTAAGTATCCATTCATTCCCGATTTGGGATTGGTATTGTCTTCTTCCAGATTTGTGAGACCCATTTTTACTAAGCGGATTGTGTGAAACTTCAGAATGTACATTTACTTCCTTACGAAAAGATTGGATGTTGTGTTAGTGACAGTTTTAGAGTTAATGGTTGCTTAACATGGAGTTTGGCTTATGATAATCATTCAGAAATTAATACCGTATAAGTGGTGGTCATTATTATTTGTTAAAGCATGAATAGACTCTATAGTTCATTATACACTCAGCTTGATCAGGAGATGGCTTTGTAGCATCTCTTTCTATGAATTAGGCATCATTTCTATCTCTTGCTGAAGAGTCACCCAATTTAGGTAGCTTTAAGAGTGATCAACTTTTTCGGAGTGGTGGTGGTGCATGCCTTTAACCCCAGGACTCGGGAGGCAGAGGCAGGTGGATCTCTGTGAGTTTGAGACCATCCTGGTCTACAAGAGCTGGTTCCAGGACAGCCTCCAAAGCCACAGAGGAACCCTGTCTCAAAAAACCAAAAAAAAAAAAAAAAAAAAAAAAAAAAAAAGAGTGATCACCTTTCTTATACTGGAGTTGAGGTCCGTTCTGAGGATGGCTCTGTGCTTCATGGATTACCAGTACATCATTTATTACTTAGAGGGTGCTCTGTTGTTAACTGAATAGTTACTAGTTTTCTTCAGTTTTGTAGCTAAGGCTGTTCCTAGGCTCCTGATCCTTTTGCTTCCGATACCACATCTGGCTGGGCTTTTTTTTTTTCATTGGGTCTTTTGTTTCTTTAAAATCTGTATGTATAATTGTGTGTGTGTGTGTGTGTGTGTGTGTGCGCGCGCGTGCCACACACTCATGTGTACAGGAGTAGGCATGTATGTGAGTGTGGTTAATGAATGAGTGTGCAAGCTGTGGCATATGTGTGGATGCCAGAGGACAACAACCAGTGTTGGCCCGCTCCATCTACCTTGTTTGATGCAGGGTCTCTTTTTATTTAAAGCTGTATATGTCAGGCTGTCTTGTGAAGTTTTGATCATAGGAGCACTGGGAATACATATGCGCAATGTTGTCACTGGCTTTACAGATCTGGAAATCTGAATATACATCCTCATTCTTTTGCATAGCAAGCACTTTACCCACTGAGCCATCTCTCTGGCCCTTTCTTATCTGAAACAATAATGTAATTATGTTTGAACTTATGCTTAAATACATCTTATATTATTGCTATCCTAATAGAATTTGTCCCAGAAGCCACTCTATGCCTTGGGGAATTCATTGAAGCCGTTTGCTGAAGTGAATGAGATTACAAATGACCCAGGAAAAACAGAGCTTTTCTGCTCTATTAATTGCTTATCTGCTTACAGAATTAAGACTGTTATTTCTTCAGGTAATGCTTAAATTTGATAAATTTATAGATTTAGTAACATATTAAAGATGACTATAATTGGTCTTAATTTTTTATATACTAAGTTTATTTAATATGGCCAAAACCCCAAGATTAATTTCCTTTTGAAAAACTGGTAATAAAACAGATTTTCACTGATACTCTTTTTTGTAGAATGTACTTTATGGTTTCTTGTGTAGGAAAAATAAAAAATAATAAGTTTTAAGCTATTTACTTCCTTTTTAAAATTATTTTATTGTGGTTGGGCAATGGTGGCACACACCTTTAATCCCAGCACTTAGGAGGCAGAGGCAGGTGGTTCTTTGTGAGTTCGAGGCCAGCCTGGTCTACAGAGTGAGTTCCAGGACAGCCAGGGCTACACAGAGAAACCCTGTCTCAAAAAACAAAAACAAAACAAACAACAAAAAGTAAGTTTTTTTTTATTATTGTATTTTATGTGCCTGTTTTGTCTGCATGTATGTCTGTGCACCCTGTGCATGCCTGGTGCCTGGGGAGGCCAGGAGAGGGCATCAGAGTCCCTGGATCTGAAGTATTACAGATGCTTGTGAACCACCATTTGTGAGTTGGGAATCTAACCCAGGTGTTCTAGAAGAGCAGCCATTGTTCTTAACCACTGAGCCATCTGTCCAGTCCTTTAAGTTAAGTTTTGATGAGCAGGAGTTGATTGAGGTTAGCTGTTGCAGTTAGATGTAGAGATTACTATAAAGTTCCATGGTATTTTTTTAATGTTCTAGTTAGTTGACCTTCTATATTCATTGGTTCTACTTTCAAGCAACAACACCTCAAAATTACTCAGCAAATGCCAGGCAAGGTGATGCAACTTTAATTCCAGCACTGGGGAAGCAGAGTCAGGCAGATCTCTGTGCGTTCAAGGCCAGCCTGCTCTATATAGTGAGTTCCAGAACAGCCAGAACTACTACAAAGACCCCTCTCTCAAAACAGCCACAACAAAAGACAAAAACCTTCAGCAAATATAACTAAACATTATAGAGATTTTAAAAGTTATTTTTTCTCAAAGTAGTACAGTATATCAGCTATTTACATGGCATTTGCATTTTGCAGATATTATAAGTAATCTAGAGATGATCTGTGAGCAGATGTTTAGAATGTACATAGATGAGATACAAAGGCTGTGGTGCCATTCTGTAGGGTGGACATGAGCGTCTGTTCTGTAGATGTTGGGCACCCTTGGGGGAAGTTTGGGAGCCAGTTCCCCAACTACATAAGGAGAGTCTGTGCTGAGTATTTGATTGTCTTTCTACTACTAGACTTTTGGATCATTTGTGTATGTGCACAACATTCATTGTTTTTTATTTTTTGTCATTAAGGTCTCCAGGTTTTGTGTCATAGTTGTAAAACCGCAGCAGTCCCTCAGTATCACGTAGCCATGTCAGATGGAACTATTTGCAGTTTCTGTAGCTCCAACTGTGTGTTGGCTTTCCAGGTATGATGCAAGGTGCTATTTTGTCTCTCTAGTTCTCCGAGGCATTGCTCTATGGCAAAATGTTGTAAAAAATTATATTGTTTTCTATTACATTTGTTATGTGTTTACATGTCATGATGGCATGACTGAGCCATCTTGCTAGCCCATTGTTTTCCTTTTCTGAAACAATGTTGGTTCATAGCCCAGAGAGGCTGCCTAGAGCTCACTATATAGAAGATCAGACTGACCTCAAACATGAGGCAATCATCCTGTCTCTATCTCCCACGTTATGGGATTACAAGCTTGTGATATCTTTTTGTTTTAAAGTAAACCCAGTCTATTCAAGCAGTGTTTCAAAGGTCATTTGTACAAATGTTTGAGCTCAACTGTTGGGCTTTCTTATTCAGTGTCCTTATTTCAAGTACCCTTCCCACCTACTTTCTCCCCTTGGCTCTTCTTTTTCTCTCTCTCTTTCTCTCTCTCTCTCTCTTTTTTTTTTTTTTTTAATCAAGGTCTCCTACTGTAGTCTAGGCTGGCCTTGCAATTTTATGTGTAACTAAGGGTGGCCTTGAACTCCTGATCTAAGTGTTTGGGTTTGTAGATGTGTGCCACTACATTATTTTGTTCTCTCTTTTTTAAAAGAATAGAAGCTAGAATTTGGTTTGAGAGGTGGTATGGTGAAGAAAAAAAGCTTACTAGGGCTCACGTGCCCCTTGTGTCCTAGGCCAGAAACTTAATGATTCTTGGAGTGGAATTATATTCCATTTCTAACCCCTCTGTGCAGTATACAGAAAGAGTCAAGAGTTTCTTGGTTTTTCTGGGTGAGAGAAGGATGCCTAGTGTATCCACATCCACTATCATATACTAGCCACTGGTTGGTGGTATGTGTAGGGTTATAAAGGCATGGGGAAATATGCAGAAACTTTTGTTCTAGTCCGTCATCTTTGAGTGTTTTATTTTTTAACCCTTCTGTTCTAGAAGATATGCCACTGAAATTCTTTCTGTTAGAAGTAAAGTTTTAAAAAAAGTTTGTAGAATGAATTTATTAAAAAGAAAATTTTAAAAATTAAGTTACATTATTTCTTATTTGGTAAAATCTTGCTTTGTATTTGTTCAGAATGTATTTAACAAGCCTGAGGGAACAAACTCTTCATTGGCGCCCGTGTCTCTGGGCCAAGAGGTGATAAACACACCTTTGCAGTCTACAGTGTCCGAAGGAAAAGGTGCCCCTGTCTCCTCCTTCAGTGGCCCCATCAGCAGGCCTGCTGCAGATGCTCTGGAGACTCTTGCTAAACAGTCCCAGCAGATTGCTCTGACCCATTCATTCATGAGGCTCAAGTGCCAGCATTGTAACCATCTGTTTGCCAGGAAACCAGAGTTGCTTTTCTACAAGGTAAAGAGATGGCTTGAAAGAAATAGGGGTAAACTATCCAGTGAGAGCATTTCTGGTTTTTCATCTTCGATAGTTCCTTAGTTTGTGTTGACTTACAAATATGTATTTGTGTATTCACAGATATGGGCATGTGAAATACGGTTTGCAAGAGTTGGTTCTTTTTTCTATCATGTGGGTCCTGGGATGGAACTTAGGTTGTTGGGCTTGGCAGCAGGTGCCTTTACCTGCTGAGCGATCTCACTGGTCTGGAAAAAGACTTCTTAGAAAGTTGCAGAAGCTGGGCGGTGATGTCACACGCCTTTAATACCAGCACTCAGGAGGCAGAGGCAAGTGGATCTCTGTGAGTTCGAGGCCAGCCTGGTCTACGGAACTGGTTCCAGGACAAAACCAACAAAACAAAATTAATTAATTAATTAATAAAAATAAAAAAGAGAAAGTTGCGGTTTAGTTAGATTTTTAAAAAAGATTTATTTTCAAGTGTGTGTGTGTGTGTGTGTGTGTGTGTGTGTGTGTGTGTGTTGGGGCATATATCCATGTGAGCACAAGTGCCTGTTGAGGCAGGCCACAGGCCTTGGAACTCCTTGTAGTTGGAATTATAGGCAGTTGTACCCATGAGCAACCTGACATGGGTAAACACTTAACCAGTGAGCCATGTTTCCAGCCCCTTAATGACATTTGTTGTTATTTGTTTTTGCAGGGTAGAATGTTTCTGTTTTGTGGCAAGGTTTGCTCTGAAGAATACAAAAGGAAAAATAAAGTTATGGCATTGTGTGACTACTGTAAGATATATAAAATCATAAAGGACATTGTGCGGTTCTCAGGGGTGGACAAGCCATTCTGTAGTGAAGGTAAAAAAAGTTTTAGTATTTCTCACACAGTATATAGTAGAATTCATAGTTACGGTTTTTCCCTTTCAAAAGCTTTTCTCCTGCTGGACAGTAGTGATGTGCTCCTTTAATCCCAGCACTTGGGAGGCAGAGGATCTCTGAGTTGGAGGCCAATTCGGTCTACAGAGTGGAGTTCCAGGACAGCCAGGACTGTTACACAGAGAAACCCTGTCTTGAAAAACCAAGAACCAAAAAAATCAAAAAACAAACCAAACCAGAAAACCCCTTTTCTCTTATGAAGCGTTACTTGGACACTCTTAAAAAGTTGAGTTCATATAGCTTGTACTTATTGCACTCTAAGATTTGTCCTTTTAAGCATTGCAGTAATCTCAGCAAACAAAAAAACTATAAGCTAATCAATGGCTTAGTAGCAAAATCTTGTAAGTTTAGCTAAGACATCAGTTTTCTTTTTTTTGACATCAGATTTTTAAATTTTTGTTCTACCTATTTGTAAAGTGTGAATTTAAGCCATTGTTACTATTGGCTTAAGAAACTTATACCTCTGATTTCTGGATATGGATGATTTAATATTTAGAGAATATTTAAATAAATGTTAATTTTTGTTATGTGAATATGGAGATTATCCTATTATATAGAGGCAAATAAGTATGTCAGGTAACCAAACCCACGTGTTTTGAAAGAGACTTTAACTGCTGAGCAAGCTCTTCAGCTTCTTTTTTTTTTTTTTTTTAAAGTCACGATGTCAAGTAGCTCAGTGTGGCCTTGAACTTGACCTGTAATTGAGGCTGCTCTGGAATTTCTGCTCCTCCTGCCTTCATCTCCCAGATGTTGGACTTATAGGCCTGTGCTGTCACACCTGGCTAGAAGTCAGCTGAAACACTACAGATACTCGTTTCACTCCTTGGAGCTAATGTGTGTCTTTTCCTTTCATTCTTTCTGGCGGTTAGTTTGCAAGTCCCTCTCTGCTCAAGACTTTGCAGAAAGATGGGCAAACTGCTGTAAGATGTGCAGTTACTGTTTACAGACATCTGCAAATTTTGTGGAAAGTCGACTGGAAGGCAGGCTCCAAGTTTTCTGTGGTGAAGAATGCATGACCAAATTTACAGCTCTGTTTTATCAGGTAAATAGGACATGTTCTTTGTCTTTCCGAACTAGGTGCTAATCGTTTTCAATTTAAAATATGTTCACATTATGTGAAAAAAAATGTGTTTAGAGTTTAAGATTTCTGGAGGTTCTTTTCCCCACCCCATCCTGATACTGGGGCTTGTCATGCCTGCTAGACAAATGTTCTACTACCACTGAGCTGTATCTCTAGTTTGGCATTTTGTTGTTGAGTAAGTATACGTGTGCTTTTTTTAATTCTCTCTTTCTTATAAAGTGTGATGACCTTGTTTGTAACTTTTAGGTTAGAAATTTACATAATATTGTCTTAAGTGGCTCTCTAATTCAGGTTACTGTGGGGAATTTAAAGTCAGACCTTGTCCTCCCTTCACAGGTAAAGTAATAAACTGATAGCCTTACCTACGTTCTATTTTTAAAAGGCATATAGTGAGGGGTATAATTAAATGAACAATAATTCAAATCTGGTGCTCCTTCATAGTTGTTTTGTTTATTCCCAGGGTCAGTCCTGAGAGTTAGGTATATTACTGCCGTTTATAAATAGGAAGAGTGTAGTCCAGAGAAGTTAGTAGCATGTCCGGGAGGAAGCTAGGAGATGACAACACATTGTACCCACAACTCTCTAGTGAAATCAATAATTACTTAACTACTTCACTCCTACGTGTCATTTTCTTGTGGAGGAATATAATAGATTTTAACCACTATATGGTGAAGGACCAATCATAGTGCTTAAGAAAAGGGTGCTTAATTAAATATTTATTGAGTGAATCTGTCTTTATAACTCCAAAGCTCATACCCTTTTCTGTATGTTCCTTCTTACTCTTACAAAATACAGCTATGTTTATATTCCTTCATTAGTAATTTTGGAAACCAAAAGAACAACTTTAAAAAAGTTAGTTTTTAGGATGTCTTATGTGGCACCAATAATAAAATCTGTTTCTAAGTACAATATTTTAAGTGGGAACTTTCCATTTTGTAATCTCACCAAACTCAATCCATTTTCATAGTGTCTCTAGTTTAGGGTTAATATTACCTTTTTATAATTTTAATCCTTCCTTGTCTTTTGTTCCTCAGACAGCCAAATGTGATGGTTGCAAACGTCAGGGTAAGCTAAGTGAATCTTTGAAATGGCGAGGCAATATCAAATACTTCTGTAACCTGTTTTGTGTCTTGAAGTTTTGCCATCACTATAGTGTGAATGACCCAGTTCACAAAAAAGGTAAAATTAAACTTGACTACTGAGCTCTTTTTTTTTTTTTAAGGATTTTAATTTACTTATTATGTATACAACATTCTGCCTCCATGTATGCCTGCACGCCAGAAGAGGGCACCAGGTCTCATTATAGATGGTTGTGAACGACCATGTGGTTGCTGGGAATTGAACTCACGACCTCTAGAAGAGCAGCCAGTGCACCTAACCTCTGAGCCATCTCTCCAGCCCCTGGCTACTGAGCTCTTTAAGTCCGTGCTAGGATATACTGTCAGAATACACAGTCGAAATACTACAATAAAACAAAGTTTCACTGCATTCATATAGCCTGGATTTGCTTAAGATTTTCTTTAGGGCTCCTTAATGACAGTCTGTTTAGCTTGTTTTCTTTTTTCTTTCTTTTTTTTGTGATTTTTTTTTTATTAGTTCGAATTAGGAACAAGCCAATCCCTCCTCCCTCTCTGTCCCCTCCCCCCAACCTTCCACCTGCCCCTCATCCCATCCACCCTCCACTCCCCAGGCTGGGTAGGGCCCTCGGCGGGGACTCACCAAAGTCCACCACATCATCCTGGGCCGGGCTTAGACCCTCCCCCCATGTGTCCAGGCTGAAATGTGGGAAAAAGTCCCTTCTTACACCAGGGAAAAATACTAATCCACCACAAGGGGCCTCCTAGAGTGCAGGGGCCTCCTCATTGACATCCATGTTCAGGGGTCTGGATCAGTCCCGTGCTGGCCTCCCAGACAGCAGTCTGGGGTTGATGTGCTCCCCCTTGTTCAGGCCAGCTGTTTCTGTGGATTTCACCAGCCTGGTACCTACCCCTTTGATCTTTATTCCTCTCTCTCTGCAACTAGGTTCCAGAGTTCAGTTCATTGTATGTCTGTGGGTGTCTGCCTCTGCTTCCACCAGCCACTGGATGAGGGCTCTAGAATGGCATAAAAAGTAGTCATCAGTCTGATCATAGGGGAAGGGCATTTAGGTTATCCTCTCCACTATTGCCTAGATTGTCAGTTTGTGTCATCCTTGTAGATCTCTGGAAATCTCCCTAGTGCCAGATCTCTCCTCGGACCTCTAGTTTGTTTTCTATTACTGTGGTAAATATTACAACAAAAGCAACTGGGAAAGGAATGGATTTATTTCATCTTCCGACTCTCAGGTGACATCCGTCACTGAGGGAAGTCAAGGCAGCAGCTCGAGGCAGGAACTGAACATACTACAGAGCAATACTGCTTACTGGCTCGTTCTCCATTGCTCCCTCAGCTTGCTTTTTTATACAACCCAGGACCACCTCTGCTCAGGAGTGACAGTGCCCACATGAGTCATTAATCAAGAAAATGCCCCACAGACTTGCCTACAGAGTATTCTGATGTAGGTATTTTTCTGTATTGAGGTTCCTGATGACGCTAGCTGTGTCAAATTGACAAAAGGCCATCACACAGTCCTTGAGAGAAAAGTAATTCTGATGCTTTTTTGCTGTCATAAACCAACAAGTTAATAAGTTAATATATATTTATTTTGTAGGAAATTTTTATTGCTTTTGATTAAACTTATATGCAACTTGCACTAAGGGATCCATACTACTCAGTTATAATTAGAAATAAAAATTAAAAAGAGGGCAAACAAAGTGTGTTAATATGGTTGCTGTGGCTGGGGTAGAATTTGTTGCCCAAATTAAAAAGAGGGCAAACAAAGTGTGTTAATATGGTTGCTGTGGCTGGTGTAGAATTTGATGCAGATCTTGCTTGTAGCTAAAAAAAAAGAGAGAGAGAGAGAAGCACATTAATTATCTCAGAAAAAAATAAAGTAGAGCAATTCTTCATGGGTATCAAAGTTTTTTTTCTGAAAAATAAAATAACTTTACAAGTAGGACAGCAAATATGTTCAGAAAATTCAGAAGAATAGATGTGAGGAATACTTCCTGAGTCGGAAACACTTGATATATCTTCTAATCAGATCCTCAAGGTCCACTTGATTGACAGAATCCACCTGCTTTTGCTTCTTAAAGTCTGGCTCTTACTTACCTTGCGTTTCCTTTATATATCTCTATTTTACACTTTTGTGTTAGCCAACCCTTCCCTAGGACTAGTAGGTTGGTAGTAGAATCTTCATTTTGTAATATAGTTGAGGTAAACCAATTGGAGACTGTGTCAGGAGAGAAGGGGTTGAAGGGATGGGAGGGAAAAAGAAAGACAAGCATTGTTTGTTTTGTTTCATATGTGCGTAAAGTAGAAGGGGAACTGTTGCAGGGAGAAACGGGACAAGGAGGAAGGATTATAATTAGCATGAATATTAGTAAAATATAATGATAAACAGTATGAAAATGAAACATTATTTTTATTTTTGGTTTCTCTGTGGCCTTGGAGGCTGTCCTGGAACTAGCTAGCTCTTGTAGACCAGGCTGGAATCCAACTCACAGAGATCTGCCTTCCCCTGCCTCCCAAGTGCTGGGACTAAGGCCACCACTGCCCAGCAAAACCTATTATTTTTATGCAAGAGAAAAGCCAGTGTTACATGGAGGGATAGCTGCCTCATCAACTTATAAAAGTTGCCATGTAAAAGTTTCATTTGAAACAAGCTTAGGTGTAGGGTCTTATACCCACTAACAGAAACTCCCAGCTAATCACAATACCTGGCATTTTACCTGTTTGATATTAAAATTATTAGATTTTTGGACATCTTATATGGGATTTAGATTGTCCTTTGAAGCTAGAGTTTTGCAGAATCAGGCTCTTTTTAAGTTCCAGTGAACACTGACTTTCTGGCAATAACCCAAGCTAACATTACATAGAGTTAGAACTTTGTATTGCTTCCTGAAAATATACTTGTTAAATAATTTTATTCCTATTATAATTCCTATATTTGTACTATGTTTTTATTGTTTATTTTAATCAGAATTTATTTTATTCCTTATTTTTACGGAACAATTCATGAATTTGTATGTCTTCCTTGTGCAGGGACAATGCTAATTTGTATCATTACACTTTTTTAGTACTTTTGCTCCCAAAGTCAGTATCAGTAATTATTCCTAAGGCACAAACTGCTTTGACGGCACTCCCTTCTCCAAGGATTGCTACAACTCCAGTTATAACCAGTGTGATATCGTTGGCAAAACTACCTGCTCTCCAGCCCACGAAGAATGTTAACAGTGATTTAACAGGTATGAGGCATTTGGCTAAGAGGCAAGTATTGCCTAGTCTAAGAGTTCTTATTGGCGGCAATACCTTTCTTTATGTCATATGAGGAAATATCCCCGTACGATGTGGGGTGAGTGGCTAGTAAATGAAGAGGGATCAGTTGGAAAGGAAGAGCCTATATAGTTACTTTTTTAAAGGATTCTAATGGGCTGGAGAGATGGCTCAGCAGTTAAGAGCACCTGCTGCTCTTGCAGAGGACCTGGGTACAGCTCTCAGCAGTTACATGGAGGCTCTAACTGTAACTCCAGTTTCAGGGGATCTCATGTGCCCCTTTGGGTTCTGTAGGCATGAGGCATGCACGTGTGCACATACATTGCCTTCAGGCCAAACACTCATACACATAAATTAAAATAAATTAACAAAAGAATTTGAAAATTTTAATATACCTGCCTCCCACTGTGTGTGTGTGTGTGTGTGTGTGTGTGTGTGTGTGTGTGTATTATGTATATGTACTTATTTCTGTATAGGTGGGTGGCATGGAAGCCAGAGGTTGATGTTAGGTGTCTTCATCATTCTCCATCTAGTTTTTTTTTTTTTTTCTCTCATATGTGGAAACTTTATTTAAAAAAAATACAAGATGGTAACCAAATCCATCTAGTTTTTAAAAACTTAATTTTGTGTGTGTGTGTGTGTGTGTGTGTGTGTGTGTGTGTGTGTGTGTGTGTGATATGTATACCAGGCCTTGTTTGTGGAGGTCAGAGGACAGCTTTTGGGAGTCAGTTCTCTCCTTCTACTTGGGCTCTGAGGCTCAAGCTCAGATTTTCAGGTTTGAGTGGCAAGCATCTTAACCTACCCAATCTATCTTAGTTTTTAAGACAGGGTTTCACTGCACGTGTAGTTCACTGCTTGGCTAAACTGAAAAAGTCAGTGAGCTGTGGGATCCTCCTGATCAGCTGGGTTCACAGATGCAGAGACATGCCTGGTGTTTCTGTTGTTAAACATGGGTTCTGGGCGTCTGAACTATGTATGGCCTTATGCTTGTACACCAAGCACTTCACCTACTGAGCCATCTGGCCAGCCCAGGCTTTCTAATAAAGTAGCAGGGAGCCGGAAGTAGGGAATCCTTACTTTTACTAGGCACCACAGGTGTTTCTTTGGACCATGTTTTCCAAACTCTAACCCACCTTTGTAAGAAAAAGTGAATGCCAGTTTCAGTGTTTACTTATGTATATTGTGAGAATGATAATGTGTGTTTTGATTTCTAACAGGTGCCGGTCCTAAAGAGGCAGCAAAGATCATTGGAAATGTGAGTTTTATTGTTCATATGTAAGCTGATAATCGCCTACTTACTTGGGTTTTCATTTTGTTTATAATCTAATAAATAGACATACATATGCATATACATATACACATACATTATGCAAGTACTTTTCTGTTTGTAGCTTATTCTTTTCACAAGGTTGAGTGGTAACATATTTTATGTTTGAGTCGTATTGTTGGACCCTAGATCATTAATAAGGATATACTCTTGATTTATCCTACTGTTTGTAAGGTTTCTTTATTTGTTTAAGTGCTTGCTAACTCCTAGCTGCTCATTTTTCTTCTTTGGAAAGTTCAGTGGTGTCATTGTAATTTTGAACTGTGTGAGGCTGAAAATAATACAAAATGCATATTTACTTCATCTCTCACTGTATGTGTCAGATTTGAAACATGTGAAAATTTCCCCCAATTTAAAAATAATTTCAGACTTAGCAGGCTATAAGGATCACAGGCTGTGCTGTTGTAGTCCAGTGTGAATCATCACTTCAGCGGGAGAATGAAATTCCCATCATCCTTCATCAGTATCATATGTTTGATCTAACATGTACTGTGTTAGCTCTTGACTTAATGATTTTGGTGACCATTTGCTCTTGATATAATTAAAAGTTTTTTGGGTGGGAGTAGGTTTGGAGACAGGGTTACTCTGTGGAGCCCTGACTATCCTGGAACTTACTCTGTAGACCAGGCTGGGCTCTGCCATCTGAGTGTTGAGATTAAAGGTATGTGCCATCACCACCTCACTTAAAAGTCTTTTCTTATGTAGTGATATCACTCAAGTGTTATGAAATGGTGTTGCTAGGGCTGAAAGTGTGTCCCACATTCAGTGTCTTTGGAACAGAAGAAGTTAGAGATGATGAAAATCTACAAGATGAGCAAACCACTGCTGTGGTATCTAGGTGCTGTTAAACTAGGAAAATGGATCCTGTACAGTGTGAGAGGTAATACTCAAAACCCCAAAGTAGCATAGTAAATTAGGCAAACTACTTGCCTAGCTCAGAAAAATTATAGCCAGGCAAGTATAACAGAGTAAGTGGAAAAAACTGTGGCAATTCCAGCATGAATTGTTTTTGATGAAATGAAAATAGGTAGAACTTCAAAATGGCTCAGCAGGTAAAGGTGCTTCCCATCCAAGCTTGACCATGTAAGTTTGATCCTCAGAACCTGCACAAAGGTGTAAGGAGAGAACCAGCTCCACAAATTGTCTTCTGGCCCTCACATGTGCATGGTGGCACTCATGTCTCCTCATCATATACACAAACAAAATAATAATAAATAAAATACATTTTAGAAGATGGGAGGTGACAGTGAGGTGGAGGTTTTATCGTAAGTCTTAGTGACCTTTCTGGGTTTAAAGCCTGCTGAGGTTTTAATATATAAATGAGTAGGCAAGCTGTACCTGCTCTCACATTTGACCACATTATAAAAAGTAATCAGCAATTACTTTTTATTTGTTTTTACTTTTTGAGACAGGGTTTTTCTGTCCTGACTGTTCTGGAACTCGCTCTGTAGACCAGGCTAGCCTCAAACTCCAGAGATCCACCTGCCTCTGCCTCCAGAGTGCTGAGATTAAAGGCGTGGGCCACCACATCTATATATATATATATATATATATATATATATATATATATATTTATTATGTATATAGTGTTCTGCCTGCATGTATGCTTTCAGGCCGAAAGAGGGAACCAGATCTCATTACAGAAGGTTGTGAGCCACCATGTAGATGTTGGGAATTGAACTCAGGGCCTTTGGAAGAGCAGGGAGTGCTCTTAACCTCTGAGCCATCTCTCCAGCCTGCAGTTATTCTTTTTGAAGGTAGTAATTCAAATATGGGTTGCTGTTCCATAGTGAAAAAGCAAAAGATGGGAAATATATCTGTCTATTAAAGATCCTTAGGGAGTCAAAACACAGTTCTGTCAGTCTTTAGCAGAAGTCTTGCCTGGAGTCACTATTGTGGAAAGGTAGCTTGTCCAGTTTAGTCCTCCTAACTCTCCTAGTATTTATCATGTTGGAGGATGACACTAATTATTTTCAGACAGTATAGTCATTAATGAAAGTCATTAAATTAACTTGTACACATTGATATATTATGTTATACACTAAATCATTTTAAATTACATGATTAATTACTTGTACCATTAATAATTGTATCATTAAATGTACTTGTACAAGTAAGATGTTACTATGTATAATTAATAAGTATTATTAACATATATTTATAAAAATGTTCTATATAATTTCTAACAATCTACAGTACTGGTTATAAATTTGTGTGCTCTGAGAAGTCATCCTTCTACTTTATGTATGTGGGACAATTAGTCTTGAATTACACTAGTTTTGAATTATTAAGGTTTTTAGGAATATACATCTCATTTAATAGTTGCCCTATATATGTTTTCCCCATGTGGAGTATTTCTGTAATTTACCTGTCATTTAAACTGTGTCACTGGGGGCTGGAGGGATGGCTCAGCAGTTAAGAGCAGTGGCTAACCGGGCAGTGGTGGCGCACACCTTTAATCCCAGCATTTGGGAGGCAGAGGCAGGCAGATCTCTGTGAGTTCGAGTCCATCCCTGTCTAAAGAGCAAATTCCAGGACAGCCTCCAAAGCTATGGAGAAACCCTGACTCATTATAAAAAAAAAAGGGTTTGAAGAACAGTGGCTGCTCTTCCAGAAGACCCGGGTTTAATTCCCAGCACTCACATAGCAGCTCAAAACAATCTATAACTCCAGTTCCAGGGGATCTGATGTCATCTTCTGGCCTCTGTGACCTCCATGGGTACTAGGTATACATATGGTGTATAATCATACATGCAGGTAAAACACACATACACATAAAAATAAATTTTAAAATGTTTTAAAAACCTGTTACCAAATAGCTCTGATTGATTCAGTTTCAGTGTATAAAAGTATAATGCTTGTATGGTATGACAGTTTTAGAGTTTTTTTGTTTCTCTGAAAATGTTAATATGAACTTTCCTCAAGTTATTTAAATAATTTGAGTTTTGTGGAATGTTAAATACAAGAAAATATAAGGAAGCAATTCTGAAGTCAGCAACCACTTATACAATTCTAGATAGTAAGTATTTTAGACTTTGCATAGGATGGTCTCTGTTGCAACTGGAGGGTCTGTCATCTCTGTTGCTCTACTGCCAGAGTAACAGCAGAAAATATGTGGGCAAGTGCATTTCAAATAAAACTTTATGTACAAAATAAATAAAGGTGCACTTTTTCAAGCCCTGATTTGCTGTATTCCCACCATCCAGAATTAGATTTGTCTGTTTGCTTCTATGAGTTACTTTTCTGTTGCTGTGCTAAAATACCATGACCAAAAACAATGTAGGGAAGGGTTAACTTTGGAAACAAGCTCCTTTTTTTTTTTTACCTTCTTTGTTATTTTTCCAGATTTCATTTAAGGTTCAGAAGCAGAGGAATCACATGATGGAATCAGGAAGGTTAAAATTTGTTGTTGGTTGGTTGGTTTGTTTTGTTTTCATTTAATATGATGTCTTAATTTGGCCTCTTGTTGAATTATCATTCTCCTGCACCAGCCTCCATATTGATTTGTGTTTTTAAAAGTTCATTGTGAGTGAGTGGGTGAGGGAGCTAGGTATAGCTCAGCTAGTGGAGTATTTTCCTAGCATGCATGAAAGTTCTGAATCTGATCCCTGATACTAATAAACCCAGCACTCAGCAGTAAGAGGATGAGAAATTTGACACCATCTTCAGATGCTTAGCAAGTTGTAGGACAGCTTTGTCTCATTAAAAAAAATAAAAATAAATAAACACCTGGCAGCAATGTGGAGGAAAATCCTGCAAGAGCAGAACTGGCTTGAGAAGACAGGTGGGAAGGCACTGCAGCCACTCAGCAGAACAGAACGGGGACCCTACGAGGCAGGGGATAACAGAGGGGAGGCTGTGGGGATAAAAGGGAAACACACCCGAGGGAACTATTAGTCATCCAAGAGTCAATACCATGTAGACAAGTGGATATGTGGCTCTGGGTTATAAGAGCATTTGGGAGGCAGAGCTGGAAGGGCCGCCCTAAGTTCCAGGCCAGCCTGGGCTACACATCAATACCCTCAAGAAAGGAAGTGAAGCAGGAAAGAGGGAGGGAGTCAGGGAAGGAGGGAAAGAGAAGGAAAGAAAGCAACCTAAGGGTACTCAGGATGTGGTTCAGTGTAGAGCATTACCTAACATATGCCAGGCTGATAGGTTTGATTCCTATTGTGCCTCCCTCCACCATTAAAAAGTAAAGAAGCACTAAAAAACCCAGTACCACATAAGGGCAGAGTGGTTCAGGGCATCATAATGCTACTCAGAATGGCATTCCATTTCAAGTTTCTGAATTAATTGTTTCTTAAAGTGCACACACACACACACACACACACACACAAACACCAGTATTTTTTGTGAGGATTATTCAATAAATAATAATGGGACAACTAAGGCATATAAAAAGAAAAATATTTTGCATTTCTGCCAACCTATTTTAGCCAAAATGAAGTTCAAATGGGGGTTTAACTGTAAGAAGCAAAATAACTAAGAAATATGCAGGGGAAACTCACAAATATGACACAAAACTCAAAAATTAAAATATCCATTGGGAAATTCAGCTATATTCCAAACTCAAAAGGTAAGTGGGCTGGGCCTGCTGCCTCACCACACTTCCAATCCCAGCACCTGGGATGCAGAGGCAGGCAGATAGCTGAGTTCAAGGCCAGCCTGGTCTAGTGAATTCTGTGCCATCTGGTACTACACAGTGAAACTGCCTCAGAAGGAAAGTGAGAGGAGGGAAATGGGTAAATGTAAAGGTTGCAGTAGTTTTGGTATTTTCTGAGTGGATGTGTGTTTTGGATTGAACCGGAACCTCTGTGTGCTAGGCAATTGTTTAATATCCCCAACCCCCAAAACTAGTTTTTAAAAGTGTGTAAAGAGAATAAATAAAAAAGACCCAACAACCAGTAGAAACAGGCAAGAATATCCATCAGTTTACAGACCTGGACATGAAAGTAGTTCTTAATAATATTCAACTTCCTTGTTACTGGAATGAAATAATGCTAGATGGTATATTCCTGTTATCTTGTCACTCAAAGGCAGAGGCAGGAGGATCACAATGGTTTTACGTTGGCTTGGGCTATCTAGTGAGACCCTGTATCAGAAGAAGAAAAAATTGGGGCAGGAGAGATGGCTCAGCATTAAGAGCACTTGTGTTACTCCAGTCCTAGAGTATCTCATTCCTTCTTCTGGTCTCTGTCGGCACCGTGCATACACATGGTGCCAGACATACATTCAGCTAAAATACTCAGATACAATAATAATCATAAAATATACAACACTGAATGCTGTTTGGACAAAAACAGCAATCAACTCAGAACCACTGTTTAATCAGATTGGCCAAGATAAAAATGAAGGATTAGAATGCATTCTGACTTGTTGCTGATGGCAGTATGAGTAAAATTTCAGAGGATTTTAGTAGGAACTAAAGTTTTAAAATGCAAAGCCAGATGTGATTTATAATTGGTTTGCATTGTTTGTAATAGCAGAAGCTTGAAACCCAATTTTCCCATCAGTGGCTGGGACCATAGGTCACTGTGGAGTTACATGAATTGCCAAAACATAATCCTACACAAGCAGAGTTGGAGATGTGCCCCTTCCCATTCCCACATCTGTTTACATAGCCCAACTAGCAGTAGAGTGCCCTGCACAAACATACAGAGCCTTAGTTACAGTTAAAGTAAGTATGCTGTGTTCATGTAATGGGATCCTAAGCCTTTGTTAGAAAGGGTAGAGCCTGCGTATATAGGCTTCTGGGAAGAAGGGGGCATTAACTTAGAATAGCACACCCCCATTTGTGCTTTAAATACACATGTGCATCTGCTTGTCCATATATAGAGAATATCCTGGAAAGGCCACCAGTGAGTAGGTCATTCCCTCCAAGAAAAACTAATCAGGCAAGAATTCTAATGGGAAATCATTTCCAATTGTTCACTATTTGAGTCTTTGAAAATATATGTAGAATTTTTCTGAGATAGGGGAGTAGTTCAGGCTGCTGTGTTGTTCAGGCTGTATTTGAGTTTAGGATTATCCTTCTGGCTCAGCCTCCTGGGTGCTGGGATTATGGATGTGCATCACTTTGTCTAGACAAAATTTGTTGGGTTGATGGTAGTGATTTTTGAGACAGGCATCTCACTGTGTAGTCTTGGCTAACCTGGAAGGTACTTTGTAGACCAGGTTGGCCTTGAACTCATAGAGATCTGCCTGCCTCTGCCTCCTTAGTGCTAGGATTAAAGACGTGCACTATGACTGATGAATGTTTGTATATATATATGAAAATGGTAGAGTTGTGATGGACTACTTGTAGGCAAGGGGATATAAGTAATTTTACATATGAAGAATAACCCTCTACAGTAGGCTAAGTATCCACTGACTGAGAAATAGCCTCAAGTAAAATGATCTGTTGTATTAGAAAATGAGTCTTTAATCCCAGCATTCGGGAGGCAGAGGCAGGCAGATCTCTGTGAGTTTGAGGCCAGCCTGGTCTACAGAGTGAGTTCCAGGACAGTCAGGGCTTTTACACAGAGAAACCCTGACTTGACCACCCCCCCCAAAAAAAAAAGGAAAGAAAGAAAGAAAGAAAGAAAGAAAGAAAGAAAGAAAGAAAGAAAGAAAGAAAGAAAATGAGCTCACATATATTGCTGATGGCCACACAACTTTTTTCAACAGCATGGTGCTGATGCCATCATAATTTAAACCACAAGCTTATGAATCGACAGTAGCACTCAGACTTTTATTCCATAGGTACACTAGCACATGTGGGATGGGTTTATGTGTAAGGACAGGAGTCATGGCGTTGTTTGTAGTGGCACAGGTTCATAAGCAAGAACTCTTTTAGTTACTTATGGCTCATTTATTAATAGATGACTATCCCAGGAGCAGCTTCCTTTAAAGTTATATAAATATACCTCCAAGGTAGCTTGCTAAATAAGAGTAGGGTGTTGAAACTTGACATGCTGCCATTTGTAGTCAGATGCCACTGATCTATCAAGCTGGGAGCGGTGGTTATTTCATAGTTGAGTCTGGGTAGAGGGCAATCAGCTATGTACACACTTATTTCTCTTTAACTTTTCACTCACTGCATCTACGTGGGAGTCAGAGGACAACTTGGGCGGGGGAGGTCTGTTCTTTCTTGGTCCATAGAGATCCTAGGGGTCAAATGGGATTGAACTTAGGTTGTCAGCCTGGATGGAAGATCCTTAATAGCTGAGCCATTTCATTCAACCTGACTTGCTCTTTGAATAATTTAGAAAATCGGAAGTTGCTCCCACATCACCTTTTTTTTTTTTCCCAAACGGTCACTCTCTGCTTCTAATCCTGCTTTTTTTCTCAACAACTCTTTTCACTATTTAGACTTCTAAGTTGGTTATATGATTGTTTTACGTGGTTTTGTTGTTTGTTTTTGTTTTTTAAGACAGGTTTTCTCTTTGTATCCCTGGCTGTACTGGAACTTGATCTGTAGACCAGGCCTCTAATTCAGAGCTGCCTCTGCCTCCCAAGTGCTGGGATTAAAGGCGTGTGCACCACCACCTGGCCCAATTGAGATCTTTAATCAATGGAGAGTATATATTATTTTGTAGAGTCTGTGATTGGATCCGATTTTTTGGAATAATTACCCTTCTCTGCATATGTTTTTTCTTTATTTGGCTACTTTGGTTATATATTAGGCAGAATAATTTGTGTGTGTGTTACTAGGATTTGAACTGAGGGCCTTACCCATGCTAGACATATCCATCTTCCAGAATATTCTTTAAAAAAAAAACCAATAAATGAAACCAATGCTGATAAGGAGAAGTAGGAGTTAGTGTTTATCTTATTTTTTAATTGTTGTGACAAAGCACCATAGCCAAGAGAGCATCTAATTTGGGGTTACAGTTTCAGAGGGTTAGAGTTCATGATGATGGAGCAAAAGCATGGCAGCAGGAACTTCTGAGAGCTCACATCTTGATGGTTTCAGAGGTTTAGTCCATTATCTTCATGCTGCGACATGGTGGTGTGCCGGCAGACATAGTGCTGGAGATAGGTCTGAAATTCCTACATCTTGACTTGCAGGCAACAGGAAGTGGTCTGTCTTACTGTGCATGGCTTGAGCATATGAGAGACCTCAAAACCTACCTCCACAGTGACACACTTCCTCTAACAAGGGTACATCTACTCTAACAAAGCCACATCTCCTAATAGTGCCACTCCCTATGGGAGCCATTTTCTTTCAAACCACCACAGTGGTTTTTGTTATTTTCTCCCTCAGAGCTCTTTCTGTTTGTAACTGCACTTCCACAGGATAACACAGTGCTTCTCACCTGATAGAAATATGGCTGTTGGGAAGTTACTAAAAACACTGTGGCCTGTGGATTTGTTTCTGACTAGGGAAATGCGCTGGCAGATGCTGAGAGACTCCAGTCTTTGCCGCCTCCCATGCTTCAGAAGAACAAAGGCATATTGTGCAGGCCAGTTACACAGACCAAGGCCACCTCTTGCAGACCACACACCCACCATGTTGAATGCCAGACAGGTAAGTGTCCTGGCACCTTGTGTAAGGTTTGTTTCATGATTTATTTTTTTAATAAAAAGGTAACAACAGTAATTCTTGAGTGTGAAATGCTACATGCTTCAAATCCATATCCACACAAAGTATTTTATGTAGAGTTAAACATCTCACACATGTGTACATTGCTCTTTCAAATGTACAGATAAGACATTATAATTACTGACATACATATTTGCTTAAAAAAATTTCTGATTGAGCCCCAGTGTTCTTGTTTCTCTCTCTCTCTCTCTCTCTCTCTGTCTCTCTCTCTCTCTCTTTCTTAAACTCTGTATTTAATTATTTAATTGTCAGTTATGGAGAGAACAGATAATAGCTGTTCTCTGGTGTGTTGGTGATAGAAAATTGTGTGAGCTGTATGGAAAGCTGTAGGGCATTGCCCCAGTCAATGGCAGTGCCTCACTCCCATACTCCTTATGTTTTCAGTTATTTTAGCTCTGCCCAAAGTTGTGTGTGTGTTGCTGTTGTGTCAAATTCAGAGCTTTGCATTGTATCACAGAGCTATAGTTCCAGAAATGAAATAAATAACTTTATTTCATGGACTAACTGAAGGGGACTTCTGAACAGTGGGGGCTCCCTCCCAGACCACACCTGAACACCTGTTTATTAAGCATGGAAGAAAAGTTTAAGTGACTCTGACTCTGGCAGCACATGAACTTGCAGGTGTAATTTTTAAGAGGAGAAGAAGGGGAGCTCTGTATTAGAATGGGCTAGGATGCTGTGGTAAAGGAGATAGGGGTGAGGGAGAAGGGGAAGGGGACAAGGGAGAGGGGGTAGGGGTATTTGGCCCAGAGGGACAAAAGACTGCTTCTGGAGAGAGGGGAGACTAACGTGGCCCATAGGCAAATGGCAGTTTATAAAGGTAAAATGGGAAAATTCCGTGTTGGGATTAGGTGTTTAATTTTAATTGGGCATGTTAATTAGGGGAGCCAAATGGGACTTCTGATTCCTGGACTTCAATACTTTGACAGCTGGACCTTGGTCATCAGCCTCAGAGGAAGTGGCAAAATAAGGGAATGGACCTTTGTGGCTAGTTTTAGGAATGTACTCTAAAGGTTTTTAGCAAGGCAGAGGGGATAGGGAGAAGGGCAAATCCTGCAAGAGCCATGCTTGCCATGCTTAAGCTACCAGAGTCCCTTCACTAACCTATATGCAAGATGCTTAGTCTGGAGCTGCGTGTTGTGAGCTTACTGTAGTCCAAGCTATTTGGGAGAATGAGAAAGGAAATGTTGAGTTCAAGGTCAGATTGTGCTGCATACCAAGAGCCTGTCTCTAAATAAATAGATAAAGCTTACTCTGGTAAAAGTAATCATTGATATTTTACATAGGGTGCCTTTCCTTTGGTAGGAATCAAAGAGAATTCTTCAGGAAATTTGATTATTTTACATTCTGTTTAAAATGATATTCTTGTGTACATGAACTTCTGAACACCTTCACATATAAAAAGTAGTAGAGGATCTGTGATCTGTGGACATCTGGTATGTGTGTGCTTAATTGTTTTTAAATTTCCGGATTAAATACTGGAATACTGTCTATATATTGTTGTAAATTGCTTTGTCACTTGACATTGTATTGGAAACATTTTACTTTGATAATTACTTTGATAAAAATTTAAATATGTACTAAGATTCTTTCTTCTTTGTCTACTGTCCCCTCCCTCCCTGTTTTTGTTTGTTTGTTTGTTTTTGAGATGGGTGTCTCATGTAGTATTACAGATGACCTCAGACTGGACATATAACTGAGGATGACTTTAAACTCCTCATCCTCTTGCCTCCAGCTTATATAGGAGTGCGATACCTTTCCTAGTTCTACATTGGAATTCTTTTTTTTTTTTTAAGATTTTATTTATTTATTTATTATGTATACAGTGTTCTGCCTACATGTTTGCCTGCAGGACGGAAGAGGGTACCAGATTGCATCATAGATGGTTGTGAGCCACCCATGTGGTTGCTAGGAATTGAACTCAGGACCTTTGGAAAGAGCAACCAATGCTCTTAGCATTTGAGCCATTTCTCCAGCCCAGGAATTCCTTTTTATTTTATTTTATTTTATTTTATTTTATTTTTTGTGTGTGCTTTTGTGTACACACGTGGGAGCATACCACAGTGTATGTTTGTACCCTAGAACAACTTGGTGAAATCTGTTAACATCCATCTACCTTGTCAAGCTTGGAGGCAAGTACCTTTGCTTGTTGAGCCATCTCCCCTACATTAAGCTTCTTTAAAGAGCCGGGTGGTGGTAGGGCATGCCTTGATCCCAGCAGTCAGGAGGCAAAGGCAGGTGGATCTCTGAGCGTTTGAGGCCAGCCTGGTCTACAGAGTTAGTTTCAGGATGGCAAAGTCTACACACAGAAACCCTGTCTCACCACACCCCCCCCAAAAAGGACATAGATGCTAGTGTGCATAGCACAATCAAACTCCTAAGATTGGTCTTTAGATTTATGTGTGGTATGTTGGTTTGTGTTGGTGCCAAGGATTAGACCCAGGGTGTCATACATCCCAGGTAAAGTGCTACCACTGTGCTGTTCTCTAGCCCCTAAATGTGCTTTTCAACTTCTAGATTTTAAAATTTATAGGCAACATTGAGTCAAGTTAACGTTAATCCATCATGTTAATGGATCTTTGTCCAGTTTTTTATAACACAACTGTTCATATCATGTTGTACATGTTCATATCATAACGTAACAGTGATTCAAATATTTCCTTCAGATTTTCCTCTGCAAAATGAGAAAAATGAAGAACCCGATTCTCCACCTGCCAAGAAAAAAAGAATGGACTTTTTCCAGACTTATGATGCAGAATATATAAAATTTGGCTTTATTATTTGTTCTGGATCAAAGGAAAGTTCACCAAGAGCACAGTGTGTCATTTGTGGAGAGATCTTACCTAGAGAAAGTGTGATGCCGGTAAGTCTCTCTAACCACTTGAAGGCAAAACATTCTGAACTAGAAAACAAGCCAGTAGACTTTTTTGAAGAAAAATCACTTGAGATGGAATGTCAAGACAGTCCTTTAAACAAATGTCTACTAGTTGAAGAATCACTTGTGAAAGCTTCTTATTTAATTGCTTTCCAAATTGCTGCCAGGAAGAAACCATTCTCCATTGCTGAAGAATTAATTAAGCCGTATTTAGTAGAAATGTGTTCAGAAGTTTTGGGTTCAAGTGCTGGAGACAAAATGAAAACCATCCCTCTTTCTAATAACACAATTGAGTGCAGGATCAACACACTGTCTGCAGACATTGAAGACCAGCTGGTTCAGAAGCTCAGAGACTCCAGATGGTTTGCCCTTCAGATAGACGAGTCTCCAGAGACCTCAGATGTCACCCTTCTCCTGTGCTACGTTCGTTTCATCGATTATGACTGTGACGATGTGAAGGAAGAGTTCCTATTTTGTACTGAGATGCCTTCTCCAAGCACAGACCTTCAAGTGTTTGAACTCATAAGTAAATACATTGATAGTAGATCTCTGAATTGGAACCATTGTGTTGGTTTCTGTACTGATGGCGCCGCAAGCATGACTGATAGACGTTCTTGTTTAAAATCAAAAATTCAAGAAATCACCAAGAATACAGTGGTATTCACACATTGTTTTATTCACCGTGAACACTTAGCTGCTGAAAAGCTATCTCCAGGCTTACATGAAATTCTTTTGCAGTCAGCGCAGATTTTAAGCTTTGTAAAGAACAGTGCTTCAGACTCAAAAATGTTGACAGTTTTGTGTGAAGAGATGGGATCGGAGCTTGTGAATTTACCACTTAGTGCTGAACTGCGGTGGCTGTCTAGAGGGAGAATCTTAACAAGATTATTTGAACTGAGACAGGAAATTGAAATACTTTTAAATCAAAAGCATTCTGATTTGGCCAGGTATTTCCATGACAAGGAATGGGTTGCAAAGCTAGCCTATTTAGCAGATATGTTTTCACTTATAAATAAATTAAACTCTGGTCTTCAAGGGACCATGGCAACTCTTTTCAATTTGTATAATAAAGTCGACATATTTAAGAGAAAGCTAAAAGCCTGGTTGAAGCGCACGCAAGAGAATGACTATGACATGTTCCCTCTGTTCTCTGAGTTCTTAGACTCGTCCGGTGTGAGTGTGGAAAGCATCACCAGCATGATTGTTGAGCACCTACAAGGACTTTCTCAGATTTTCCATGACTGTTACCCACCAGAAGAGGACTTGCGTTTGGGAAATCTGTGGCTCATTGATCCCTTTGCCAGTCACCAGAATAACAACCTCACTGACTCTGAAGAAGAAAAACTAGCAGCGTTATCTTCGGATACAAGCCTTCGGTCAGCTTATAAATCAATGTCTGTAACTCAGTTTTGGGTAAGGGCAAAGACAAGTCACCCGGAACTCCATGAAAAGGCAGTGAAACTCTTACTGCCCTTTTCCACCTTCTGTTTGTGTGATGCCACCTTTTCAGCCTTGACCGCATCGAAACAAAGAAACCTGCTGGGTTTTGGTCCTGCCCTAAGACTTGCAGTCACATCATTAGTTCCAAGGATAGAAAAGTTAGTAAAGGAGAAAGAGTAGTATCCTTATTGCTTATTGTCAGAGTCTTTAATTTTGTGTTAAATTTTGTATAAGTATCCTAAAATACATTTGCTAATGTATTTGTATTTTTGGTGATTAAATGTTTTAATAATTTTTCCTTTGTTCTAGAGGGATTTAAGAATTATGGAACTTAAACATAATTATGTATAATTTTAATAACGCAAGGGGGAAAATGTAGCCTTTATATTGGTGATTGCTCTTGGAGTTTCAGAGGAAATGTCTTGCTTAGGGAATTCCCCAAGAGACCAGGCCAACCTGCTGTCCCAGTACATCAGTGAGAGGTAAGCATTGGTAAAGGACAGAAAAAGATGGGGTCAGTGGAACCAGGTTGAGAAGAACAGGTTACGATTCCCTGATCTCACCTCAGCACTTTGTTTTGTGTTTTGAGACAGAGTCTCTCTACATAGTTCTGGATGTCCTGGAACTCATTATGTAGACCAGACCAGGCTGGCCTCCAACTCAGAGAGATCCCACTGTCTCTACCCCCTCCCCCATGCATGGATTAAAGGTGTTTGACATGATGCTGGGGCTCCCACCTTAGTCTTGAAGGTGCTATTGGAACTTTGAGCTATCATGGAAAAACGAAACAATGAAGGGTTGGGGTGTGCCTGACAGTGAGTGGGTCTTCTTGGTGAGGCTAGTAATCTGACTGGAGACGTTCCCACTGTTACCACTTTAGGGGAGCAGTCTGGTTTCTGTGAGATGACTGTTCCAGGGTACAGCCTCACCATAATGGCAATTGCCCTCATTTAAGGTGTGATCTGCCCTGCCAGGCTCCCTGTTGCTTGCGGCTAGTTTTGATCCTTCACTGTACATTATGTTTATGGGTCAGTTCCTCTTTCCTAGAATTCAAGGTAATTTACAGGAGAAAGTGACTCAGGAAAAAAGTGTTCTGAGCTAAAGGGGAACAAAACAGAGTTAAGTTAGGGCAGCAACAGTGGTTTCCTTCGTGACCAAGCATTCAGGTGCCGAAGGCCCACGTCAATATCAAGGCACAGTTTGACCTTTCAGTTTGCACTTAAAATTGTGAGAAGTTTTAGCCAGCCAAGTCAGCAGCCGCCAGAAGTTGCATATAGATGGAAAGCAGATTCAAGCAGGTGCCCCCCAGGAAGTAGAGCAGTTGGGGAATTTGAAGCCATACTTTGGGGACTTCTGTTGGTTCTCTAAACTTTTTTTTTCTAAACCAGGGTTTTTTTTTTTTTTTTTTTTTTTTTTTTTTCTTTTCTTTTTTTCTGGAGACGGAGCTTGGCAATGTAGTTGTCACTGGCCTAGTTCTTGCTGTATAGTCCATGCTGGCATTGAACTCTGGCAGTCCTCAAGCCTCACCCCCTCTCGTGTTGGGATTACAGATGTGTAGCCGACTTTCATATAAGCTCAGATAGTAAGTATTCTGTGGTATACAAACAAACGTACTGCTGATTAACATTCTTTTACCCGTGCACTGAGATGTTATTTTTATATAATTTCCAAGGGTTGTAAAAATTCCTTGGACATTGTTTAATCATTTTAAGATTATTGTTATGATCAATATTAATATTTTCCTTTTTTGGTGTGTGTTAAAATACCCAACAACTGGCCAAATTTGGCCTTTTGTTTTCTGATCTAGGCAAGTGAATGTTTAAACATCTTTTACATTTTTATTTCAGGTGAGCAATGGAAAAGGCAGGTATTTTAGGTATAGATGGACAAGGAAAACTTGTAGTCACAGGTTACTGCTTTATTGCGCATTAATTGTATGGTTCACTGATGTACAAGTAATTTTCTGAAGGCCAGTGTGCAACTTCCTTACAGAAGCAAACCCAGAGGCACACGGGGCTGGGTGGTGTTAGATTCCTCCAGGGTGCCCCCCCCCCCAAGGTCGGGGTCACGTGTTCAGAACCGGTATGTTTGCTCCCGCTTACGGAGTTTGAAAAAAGGCGCCCAG